GTTGCTTGCTAGAGATGCATTTTAGCATAATGGTTAGCACTATAGCTTCTGGAGCCACATTGCTAGAATTTGAATCCGAACTTTGCCATTTATTAGCATTGTTGTTTCTTAGGCAAATTGCTTAACTGGCCTGTGCCTGTTTCCTCACCTTTCAAATGGGGAAAATAATGGTATCTAATTTCTGTGATTTTTAGTGAGACTTTAATACATGTAAAGTGCTTAGTAGAGTGACTGGCACAGAATAAGCACTTCATCTGTATCGTCATTATCGTTATGATTAACTGCTATTTTGGCTAGTCTTTATTTTCATTCAGACCTTAATATATCACCGTTCTACTTTTCTATACCTGTTTTATTTCTTTATTTAGCTTAGATTTCTTGGTCTCTTATTTAATTAACTTCATTTACTTTCTTACCAGTACTTTAAATTCTCATCCAGGGTTCCATTCTACTCATGTATTCCCAAAGGCAGTCAAAAATTGCTGCTGAAAGTCATACAGTGGAATACATGGCTATCATCATAAATGATGGCCAAACCTACACTGACCTTCAACACAGACCTGCAGTACTGTAATGTTTCTGCAGTACTACTGTGTTTCTTTGATCAGGCACTGCCACATTCTTCAGTAACATTTCAGATCCTTTACTTTTCTAAAACAAGAGATCCTGGGGTTTTATGTGAAGTATGATTTGTAAAACTTGACAGTGTGTTGCAAATCTTTGAAAACATTGTGCCTGTCAGATAAAAGCATTCTGAGGACCAAATTCAGCAGCCTAGTAGTTTTCAAACTCCAGTATAATCAGTGTGGGCAGGCTAGTGAAATAAGTTACCAAGTGGCAGAAGTTAACTTGAGAATCTAGATGCTGGCTGGGTACAGTGGCTCACACCTGTAGTCCTAGCACTTTGGGAGGCTGAGGCGGGAGGATCATCTGAGGTTGGGAGTTTGAGATCAGCCTGGCCAACATGGTGAAATCCTGTCTCTACTAAAAATGCAAAAATTAGCCGGGTGTGGTGCTGCACGCCTATAATCCCAGTTACTCGGCAGGCTGAGTCACAAGAATCTCTTGAACTGGGAGGCGGAGGTTGCAGTGAGCTGACGTCGCACCATTGCACTCCAGCCTGGGCAGCAGAGTGAGACTCTGTCTCAAAAAAAAAAAAAAAAATATCTAGGTTCCAACCTTTTCAAAGCAGTTAAACATGCCTGGGCTTCTGCCCATGTATTTAGTAGGTTTGGAGTAGAACCTCTAGTATAGATATTTTTGAAAAACTTAACAGATGTTTCTGATGCAGAACCAAGCTGAAAATCAGTAGCTTAGCAAAATGCTCTGCACATTTTAAGTGCAAAATAAGATTAGAATAATGAATGCTTTATTATTGCCAAATGAATTTTGAATGAATAAATGATTTACGGCCTATTTTAGTTCCCCTGGTCTACATGCATGTTGCAACTGAGTTAAGCACTGTTTAGGCATAGAAAAGGAAGAGATTTTTTTTTTTTTTTTTTTTTTTTTTGGTGGTTTGAGACAAAATATAGGTATGGCAATCACATTCCTCCTTCTTAATCTTGTCTCTGGGCTTACAGTAGTATTCTTGTGATTAGTGGTCTTATAATCAGGGCATTCTTCCTGTAGCAAGCAACATAAATAAAATGTCTAACCCCTCTTAGACTAGAACCAGAATGTGCTGAGCTTCTATTTTCCTATGCTTGCAAAACTGGCCTGGAGCAAGGAAGACGAGTATCATACTACCCCAACCCAGGGTTGTCGCTAAATAATAGGCCTTTAAAACACTTCTTCCTTCTTTTTACCTTAGCTCCTATCCTTCAGAGTCAGCCTGACTTCTCACTTCCTCTTTCCTAAGGAAAGCTGCCCAGAGCAATCTACAGAGCATTATTACTATGAAACTACCAACATCATTTTTCACAGAATGAGAAAAAAAAAAAGAACTCTTCTAAAATTCATATGGAACCAAAAAGGAGCCTAAATAGCCAAACCAGTCCTAAGCAAAATAACAAAACTGAAGGCATCACATTACCCAATTTCAAACTATTGTATAAGGCCACAATAACCAAAGCAGCATGGAACTGGTACACACACAGACACATAGACCAGCAGAATAGAGAACCCAGAGATAAAGCTGCACACCTACAGCCATCTGATCTTCAACAAAGTGCATAAAAATAAGCAATGGGAAGAGGACTCCCTGTACAATAAATGGTGTGGGGATAGCTGGCTAGCCCTATGCAGAAGAATGAAACTGGACCCTTCGCTTTCACCATATATAAAAATTAACTCAAGGTGGATTAAATATTCAAATGTAAGATCTCAAACTATAAAGATCCTAGAAGAGAACCTAGGAAGCACCATTCTTGACATAAGCCTTGGGAAAGAATTTATGACTAAGTCCTCAAAAGCAATTGCAACAAAACCAAAAGTTGACAGGTGGGACCTAATTAAACAAGAGCATCTCCGCAGCGGAAGAAACTATCAACAGAGTAAGGAGACAGCCTACAGAATGGGAGAAAATGTTTTCAAACTCTGCATCTGACAAAGGTGTAATATCTAGACTCTATAAGGAGCATAAACAATTCAACAAGCAAAAAAAAAAACAACCCTATTAAAAAGTGAGCAAGGGACATGAACAGACATTCTCAAAAGAAGATGTGCAAGCAACAAACATGAAAAGGATATTCAAGCAGCCAACAAACATGAAAAAATGGTCAGCATCAGTAATCATCAGAGAAATGCAAATTAAAACTATAGTGAGATAGCATCCCATACCAGTCAAAATGGCCATTATTGAAAAGTCCAAAAATAACATGTTGGTGAGGCTGTGAAGCAAAGGGGATGCTTATATATACACTGTTGGTGGGAATGTAAATTGCTTCAGCCATTGTGGAAAGCAGTTTGGAGATTTCTTAAAGAACTTACAACTGCCATTTGACCCAGTAATCCCATTATTGGATATATATCCAAGGGAAACTAAATCATTCTACGAAAAAGACACATGGGTTCATGTTTATCTCAGCACTGTTCACAATAGCAAAGATGTGGAATCAACCTAGATGCCTGTCAATGATGGATTGGATAAAGAAAATATGGTACCTATGCACCGTGGAATACTATGCAGTCATAAAATATGAAAACACATCTTTTGCAGCTGGAGGCCATTACCCTAAGCAGATTAATGTAGGAACAGAAAACCAAATACTGCATGTTCTCACAAGTGGGAGCTAAGCATTGGGTACACATGGACATAAAGAGAGGAACAATAGACTCTGGGACTCTAAAAATGGGGAGGAAGGGAGAAGGGAAGAGTTGAAAAACTACCTATTGTGTACTTTGCTTACTACCTGGGTAATGGGATCATTTGTACCCCAGACTTCAGTGTCTCAGTATAGCCATTAGCAAACTTGCACATGTACCCCCTGAAACTAAAATAAAAGAAAAATGAAAAAGGAAAGGGCCAGAGTGTTGTGAAAACAGCTGTACAGTTTTATATTCCCACTAACAATGTATGAGAGTTATAGTTACCCCATATCCTTATTTGCACTTGACATCATCAGTCTTTTAAAAGTTTTTGCCATTCTAGTGAATGTGTAGTCATATCTTAATGGAGTTTTAAATCTTCATTTCCCTGATGACACTGCTGAGCATCTGTTCATGTGCTTATATTTACCATCTATATTCCTTCCTCAATGAAATTTCTCTTCAATTCTTGTTCATTTAAAAAATTGGTTTGTCTTACTGAGTTGCAACAACTGTGGATGAAGTCCTTTATCACATATGTGTTTTGTAAATATTTTCTTTCAGTATGTGGGTTGTCTTTTCTTCTTCTTAACAGTGTCTTTTGAAGAGCAGAAGTTTTTAATTTTGATGAAATTTAACTTACTACTTTTTAATTTTATGGTTTATTTTTAATTTATTTTTTAATTTTATGGTTTATTTTTTTAATCTAAGAATTCTTTGCCTAACCCAAGTTCATAAAGTTTTTCTTTATGTCTTCTTTTACATAGTTTATAATTTTAGCTCTTACACTTAGGTCTGTAGTTCATTTTGAGTTAATTTTTGTGTATGATACAAGTTAAGGGTGGAGGTTAATTCTTTTTGCCTGTGCTCATCTAGTTTTTCCAGAATCACATGTTTAAAAGATTATCCTTTCTGCATTGAATTATGTTGGTAACTTTGTTAGATCATTGATTTGAGAACTTTCTTCTTTCTTAATATAAGCCTTCAATGTTATCAATGTTCCTTGAAGCACTGCTCTAGTTGCATCCCGTAAATTGTGCTTTTATTTTCATTCAATTCAAAATATTTTTCTAATTTCTTCAACTGTGGGTTATTTAAATTTTTTTTTTTTTTTTTTGGATATGGGATCTTGCACTGCTGCCTAGGCTGGAGTACAGTGACACAATTGAGTTCACTGTGGCTTCAACCTCCCAGGCTTAAGTGATCCATCCACCTCAGTCTCCCCAGTAGAGCTGGGTCCACAGGTGTATACCACCACACTTAGATTTTTTTTATTTTTTATTTTTGTAGAGATGAGGTCTTACTATGTTGCTCAGGCTGGCCATGAACTCCCGAGCTCAAGCAGTCCTGTCTCAGCCTCCCAAAGTGTTGAGATTCTAGGCATGAGCCACCATGTCCAACCACCTATGGGTTATTTAAACTTGCATTTTTTTCCCCAGTTTTTAATTTAATTAGGAAAACATAAATTGTATGATTTCAGTCCTTTTAAATTTGTTGAGGTTTGTTTTGTGGCTTTGAATATTCTTAACTCTTATCGTTAAAACATTTTTTTCATTATTATGTATCTAAAAGTAGTGATTTCCAGACTACTATTTCATATACCATTTTTACTTTTAAAAGCGTAATGAATATAGTTTACCTGTTTCTTAAGAATGATGATTTCTTTATTATGTAGTAAATTAATATTTGCTTATTTTTGCTTTTTTGCCACAAATATGCAAACTGTTCTTCCCTCTCTGTGCTTTTCACAGGCCTAAGATCTGGCAAACTTGGTGAACAGTGCGAAGCAGTTGTTCGCTTTCCCAGACTTTTTCAGAAGTATCCATTCCCTATTCTTATCAATTCCGCATTTCTAAAGTTAGCTGATGTTTTCAGAGTTGGGTAAGTCTTTTTAAAGCCTCAATATCCTGAAATACTTTGTTCATAGTTCTTGTTTTATATTGTGGTCTTTTTCTTTTTGCCTGTTAGGACTTCCACCTTGTTAGTTACCATTAGTGGACACACATGACTGTGTGAGATTTAATGATATTTAAAGCAAAAATGAGTATAATTTAGAGAATATTTATTTGAGGAACAGAATAAAATTAAGATAACCTTAATATTTTACTGTATAATTCAGGAAAATCTGTGGCTTTGTACAGATTGCTTTTGATAAGTTTTGATTTAATTTAATAATTTATTGTATAGCATGAGATGCATGTCCGTGAAGTACCTGAAACATGTAAGCACTGAATACCTACCTGTTTGCTTTTTCTCCCCCTACCGTTCCCGCTTCTGCTGCTTTCTGCCATCCTCTGTGCACTCATGTGCTCATATGTACACGGTGCCACACCTGAAGGAATAAGCCCAAGAGAAGAGAAAGACCATCTGACTTCCTGTCCTTGGTTATAATTTGAGGAGATTTAGTTCTGCTCTAGAGCTTCTCCTTGTGTCACTGCCATTTTGGTGTCTTGCAGCAAGATTATAGCATAGCTGATTGCTCATGCTTGGTGTCTAACTAAAATACAAACTTTAGGTAACTCTTTTAGTAGCGAGACAAATAATGATAAAATTGAAAAATATTTGCATGTTGCTAAAATTGAATATCACTAGTGTTGCTTTAGTCCCTAATTAAATATTACTTTCTAAAGTGACCTAATTTATTTTATTTGTTTTTTTCCTAGAAATAATTTCCTGAGGCTATGTGTTCTTAAAGTTACCCAACAAAGTGAGAAACATTTGGAGAAGATTCTAAATGTGGATGAATTTGTGAAGAGAATTTTTTCTGTGATTCATAGTAATGATCCCGTGGCAAGAGCCATCACACTCCGGTATACCGTATTATAATAATTCACTGTAAGATTATGTGAACTGTAATTATGTACAAAAAAAGCAACATATTTACATTTTTCATTTTGAATATTAGAAGTTGGTTTTGGTTTTTTGACTAAGAGTCAATGCAAAAATGTGATAACCATCGTGATCTGTAAATGCTTTTTAGTTAACATGTATATTACTGTTTTGTTTATGAATTGTTGCCTAACTTGTGTTTGAAATGCATCTCTATGTAGGTAGATGTTCTGGTCAAATAACTTGGTGGATCTTAATATAGCTTAGCCTCAGCTCATTTTGAACTTTGCCTTCCTGACCTTGTACTTAATGTTTTCTATTAGTTTTCTATAGTTTTTCTTGATTATGTGATCATTTTTAATGTGATAAATTATATTTGATCTCATTGGAGAACATCAGATAAAACCACTATAGTTTCTGTAGCTTTTTCTTTTCTTTCTTGGCATGTTTAAAAAAATTTATTTTTTAGAATTTCATTTTGTAAGCTTTATATCCAGCTTGAACCATGTTATCTTTTTGGCTCTGCTGTTTATAGAGTTATAACTATAACTTTTTATATTTTTTCCAATTCACTTTCCTAAATTTTAGGGTTCATTTCTGATCTACCCTGCCCAGACAATCTTTTTAACTAGGAAGTTCGGGATGTCACATCGTCCCTGAGTGTCCTTTTTTCCACACCAGGAATCAGTTCTTCCTTCTTGTTCAGAATTTAGTGCTTTTGTCATTTCTTTGCCTTTTGAGTGATTAAACTGTGAGTAGTATTTGATATTTTAAAGTCAGTTAATTGATTTTTATCTTTTGAAAATGATATTCAATAGATTCTATCTATCTATCTATCTATCTATCTATCTATCTATCTATCTATCTGTCAATCGATGGAGTCTCACTCTGGCACCCAGGCTGGAGGGCAGTGGCATGATCTCAGCTTATTGCAGCCTCTGCCTCCTATGGTCAAAGCAGTTCTCCTGTCTCAGGCTCCCGAGTAGCTGAGATGATAGGTACCCACCATCACACCTGGCTGATTTTTGTAGTTTTAGTAGAGATGGGGTTTCACCATGTTGGGCAGGCTGGTCTCGGACTCCTGACCTGAGGTGATCTCCCCACCTTGGCCTCCCAAAGTGTTGGGATTACAGGCGTGAGTCACTGCACCCAGCCCAGAACTTAAGATATTTTTACCCTTTACTTCAGCAAATAAGCCTATAGGAATTTTTAAAAGAAATGATTTTTTAAAGTTGGTGAATGTGTGTATATAGATGATTATAGTATCATTTTTGTAGAATGAAAAATTGAGGAAAAATCAACATGGTAATAGTTATTTGTGGACTTCTGTATAACTTTTAAAGAATAAAGTTGAGTTGTGAGTGTACATTATACTAAGGTAGAAAGATACTAAGTTTTAAAAAGTAGTCAAATAGTATCCATTTTGTCAGTTAATACTAATATATATGTTTAGGCTCAGAAAAAAATCTAGAGGAATACATACTGTTAACAGTGATTATCTTTAGTAGAGTTATTTGGTTATAGATTACAAGAGGCTTTTCCATTTTTTTGTAATGTTTGAATTGTTTTTCACAAATGTGGTTTTTTTTTTAAATATCAAAAGGCAATAGAGAAGAATGGAATTTAACTGGTGGAATGAAATTCATAAATACTTTAGAGCTAGCCTGAATATTTTGATAAGAATGTAGATTAATATTTGGTTGTTATTCATTTTGCATGTTTTCCCTTCTTTAAGTCATGACAATTGAGTCTTGCCTCAATTCTTTTTTTAAGCATTGTGGTTATCAGTAAAACCAACAATCTCTAGAAAGCGTCCAAAAACAAGGATCACTTTAAAGGAAAAAAAAATTAGATTGAAATCAGATTTTTCGACAGAAACACTTGATGCAAAAAGTATTAATGGAAAATTGAGCTAAGAATTTTATATCTAATCCAGATTTCATTTAAAAGAGTAGTGAAATAAAAATACTCTCAGGCATACAAGGCCTTAGGAGGTTTCCCATATAGGACCTGTTTTGTAAACATTCTTGGAAGAGGTACTTATTAGGAAGAGAAAAATTAAGCCGGAAGGAGTGGGAATATGTCATTAATTGTGTCAGTATCACCCTGGTCTAATCTTTTCTGTTATAATAGATTAATAGAAATTTGTTTTCTTTTGAAAAATGTATAATTTAAAAACTTTTCAAATTAAATATATATTACATGTTTAGTTTTTAGTATCTTGCTTATAGGAATAGTACTACTTATTTTTAATTGACTATAGTTCCAAGAAATAATTAGGTGATTACATGTCATGTTGGAAGGTTATTTAGGATGTTGACTTTGAAGGAGGTTGTTGTTGTAGGAAGATTGTAGGTTTTATTTACTGCAGTGTTTTGCAGATTGCTAAAATTTATGCCTTTCTGCTGAAAGGATTTTTCTAACTATTTTCTGTGGTTTATATTACAAACAATAGATTTGTTTGTAGATTTGTTTGTTTCCTTTCTAAATGTTTAATTTTATTATAACATGCGCTGTGTTTTCCAAACTTTACCTTCCACACCTTTGTGGATTCTGGTGTGATCCACAGGGGTGTCCTCGATCTCTGTTTTCCGAATCTTGAGGACATTTGAAAATCATCATACCACTGTTTACTGATGTGGAAAAAAACAGATTGGGAGGTCTTACTTTTTTACTTTGTGTATCTGCTTAATAGCGAAAATGCTGTATTTTTAATGTTTTGCTGAAATAGACTTCTTTATGCAACTTTGGAAAATTGATATTTTGATGCTTTAATAATTCAAAAGTTTCCTTTCTGGGCTGTTCGTACCTGGGATGTACTTCAAGGTGATTGTTAAAAACTTTGCTTTTTAGACAAGCCATTTTAATTTTTCTGAAATATTGAAGTATGTAAAAGTGTTTAAAATTTAAGTCACTGATTCCTAAAGTTATGCTTTATTAACTGGAGTTACTTGGAATTACCTATAAACTTTAGTTTCGATAATCAGGCTTTGTCTTGCCTCTTCTGTTTCTGACCTTGACTTTATTGTATATCCGATCTTCTTGGGTTTCTCTGTTTCTGTAGGATGTTGGGAAGTCTGGCATCAATAATTCCTGAGAGGAAGAATGCTCATCATAGTATTCGTCAGAGTTTAGATTCACATGATAATGTAGAAGTTGAAGCCGCTGTTTTTGCTGCTGCAAACTTCTCTGCACAGTCAAAGTAAGCATATGCCTTTTAATAATTTGGCTTCCCAAGAAAAGTTTTTGAAGGAATAACTGATCAATGTATGTAAACTCTAAGAGATACAGGAAAGTGTAAATGTATATTTACCAAGAAGGTTTACCTTATGTTGGGGAAAAAAGACTTAAATACTTAAAATAGAAAATGTAAGTAAAAATGTTGGCATTAATTGTAAATGAAATGGGTTTCCAGAAGGGCGAGATCAGCATAGATTAGTTGGGGAAGGCTTCGATGGGTAGCAGAAGCTTTGGTCACTGAGGAGCTTCTTCCAGACATATACATCTGTAATACTAAATTATGTACTTACTGTCTTCTGATGTTGATTTATTTTGCATTAGAGCTGTACACAGTTTGGCAAAGTTAATGACTTGAATTAAAACCAATATTAACCTATTCAGAATGTTGTGTCTTACACTGTTGTTTTACAGAACAGTATTTTTTTGGCGGGAGGATTAAATGTTGACCATGGTTTTATTACCATGTTTGATTGGCTTGTTTATCCTCTGCAAAAGAAAATATAATATCCCCTCAACTGATAGGAAAAGTAGCATTGCCTTCTGGAGTGTGTTTTGGTAATATTTGACCCAGGAAATTCACTTCCAGAATTTATTCTAAGATATCAGCAATATGTACTGATAATTATTTGTATGGATGCTAGGTGTAGTGTTAACTTGTAACAACAAAAGAAGCAGCCTAAATTTCTGCCATTGAGCTTAAATAATGATATGATCATACAATAGAATATAGTAACAGCTTAAAACGAATGTTTTTAGAAACATATTTGGAAACAGGTGTAATATAACAGGTTTGTTAAAAAAAAAAAAAATCCCTGGCCGGGCTGGGGCTGGTGGCTCATGCCTGTAATCCCAGCACTTTGGGAGGCCGAGGTGGGTGGTCCACGAGAGCAAGAGATCGAGACCATCCGGCCAACATGGTGAAACCCTATCTCTTCTAAAAATACAAAGATTAGCTGGGCGTGGTGGTGTGCACCCTGTAGTCGCAGCTACTTGGGGGGCTGAGGAAGGAGAATTGCTTGAACCCGTGAGGCAGAGGTTGCAGTGAGCCAAGATCGTGCCACTGCACTCTAGCCTGGTGAGGGAGCAAGACTCTGTCTCAAAAAAAAAAACAAAAAAAACCCAAAAAACCCTAATAGCTTATGTAATGTAACAGATTTGTTAAAAAGAAAAAATGCCCTAATTGTATTTATGCAATAGAAAAAAAGACTAGAAGGGTATATATCAAAATCTTGTCTCTGGGTGGTAAGATGGTATACAATTGTTATTTTGTTTTTGTTAATTTCCTATATTTTGCTGTGAACAAGTTTGTTTTCTAACCAGGTGAATAATAATTTTTTTTTTTTTAGCATAAAAAAATACTATTTATGGACAGGCACAGTGGCTTACGCCTGTAATCTCAGCACTTTGGGAGGCTGAGGTGGGTGGATCACGAGGTCAGGAGATTGAGACCATCTTGGCCAACGTGGTGAAACTCTGTCTCTATTAAAAATACAAAAAATTAACTGGCACTTTGGGAGGCCAAGGTGGGCAGATCACAAGGTCAAGAGATCGAGACCATCCTGGCTAACATAGTGAAACCCCATCTCTACTAAAAATATAAAAATTAGTTGGGTGGGCATGGTGGCGCGCACCTGTATTCCCCGCTACGCAGGAGGCTGAGGCAGGAGAACTGCTTGAACCCGGGAGGCGGAGGTTGCAGTGAGCTGAGATCACACCACAGCACTCCAGCCTGGCGCCTGGCGACAAAACAAGACTCTGTCTCAAAAAAAAAAAAAAAAATAGCTGGGTGTGGTGGCAGGTGCCTGTAGTCCCAGCTACTCGGGAGGCTGAGACGGGAATCGCTTGAGCCTGGGCAGCGGAGATTGCAGTAAACTGAGATCATGCCACTGCACTCCAGCTGGACGACAGAGCAAAACTCTGTCTAAAAAAAAAAAAAAGTCTTTACATACTCTTCAGCTATTTTTTTTTTTTTTTTCTGAGATGGAGTTTCAGTCTTGGCTCACCGCAACCTCCACCTCCAGGTTCAAGCGATTCTTCTGCCTCAGCCTCTTGAGTAGCTGGGATTACAGGCATCTGCCACCATGCCTAGCTAATTTTTGTATTTTTAGTAGGGACAGGGTTTCAGCACGTTGGCCAGGGTGGTCTTGAACTCCTGTCCTCAGGTGATCTGCCACCTCGGCCTCCCAAAGCACTGGAATTATGGACGTGAGCCACCATGCCCAACCCCTTCAGCTATTCTTAAGAAACCTCCAGAATTCCAGGAATTCTTATTGAAAAAGTAGATAATGCAAAGCATATAATTTTTAATTTCACAGATCAAAATTAATAGATGTAGCAGTAATTGTTGATCAGAAATATCTGAATAAGTACAGTTTCTATTCGTGCCTTTGAAAATAAGCATTTTGTTTTTCTTATTGAGAGAATCATTGGTATTGAGAGGACTTTAAAAAATTTCAGTAGCACATCTCTTAACAATTAGGGTTCATTCTGAGAAATGCATTGTTAGGCAGTTTCATCATTGTGCAAACATCGTAGAGGACACAGATCTAGATGGTATAGCCTATTACACACCTAGGTTATGTGGTGTAACGTATTGCCCTTAGGTTGTAAACCTGTTTCTGTGCTGAATAACATAGGCAATTGGAGCACAGTGGTATTTGTATATCTAAACATAGACAAGGTTCAGAAAAAATGTGGTATAAAAGATCAAAATGGTATGCCTTTATAGGGCACTTACCATTAATGGAGCTTGCAGGACTGGAATTTGCTCTGGGTGATCAGTGAGTGAGTGGTAAATGAATGTGAAAGCCTAGGACATTACTGTATACCACTGTCGACTTCCTAAACACAGTACACTTAGGTTTCACTGTATTTTTAAAGTTTTTCTTTATTCAATAATAAATTAACCTTACCTCACTATAACTTTTAACTTTTTGACTCTTTTATAATAACACTTAGCCTAAAATACAAACATATTGTATAGCTGTATAAACATAATTTCTTCATATCCTTATTCTATAAGCTTTTTTTGTTAAAATGGTGTTAAAATTAAGACAGCTGGGCACAACGTCTCACACCTGTAATTCCAGCTACTTAGGTGGCTTGGGGGGGGGGTTGCTTGAGCTCAGGAGTTCAAGACCAACATAGGCAACATAGTGAGACCCCTCAAAAAAGAAAAGACAGACGTACATACATTAACCTAGGCCTATACATAAATCAAGACATCTCTGGCCAATATGGATTTTTCATCTCTGTGGTAATCTCGAGGGTGCTGTCATATATGTGGTTTGTCATTGACCAAAACGTTGTTATGCTGCACATGACTACGTTTATTGATTAGGAGTTGTACCTAGTGAATAATTATCATCTGATTACCACTGTCAAGGTGTCAGTGCTTCATAAGCTGTCAGATTAAATATGTACTTCCAGTGGTTCCAAAACTAGTTTTCTAAATTTAGTTTCTAAATTTGTATGATAAACTTGTAATTTGCTGATAAAATTTTGTAAATGAGACTCATTTTTAGTTCAGTTTTTTTCTTGTGTTATTATGAGAAGCTAATTTTATTTTAGCTGTGTAATTATTGGTCTTGGAAAATGATTAAGACCAACTAGTAGAAGCAGCAAGATTCTTCACCTTTGGAATTTATGATTATAAACATCTAAATTAGCAGTTGATGTAGAAACAGTTTTTAATATACATGCTTCAATATGATATGCTTGTAATTTATTATATTAAAAAATACCAAATGAGTCTCTGTCACCTAGGCTGGAATGCATTGGTGCAGTCATGGCTCACTGTAGCCTCAAACTACTGGACTCAAGTGATCCTCTCACTTCAGCCTCCCAAATTGCTGGGATTACAGGTGTGAGCTACTGTGACCAGCTGACAAGATTTATATTTTTGAGATCAGTGTTCATGTCTTCTCCCAGAAATAATGACCTGGCTTGAGATCACATATCTTGGTCAGTACTGATAGATTTTTTTGTCTGGTATCTGTATTGATCAGTTTTGGATATTAAATCAGAGTAACTAGCCAAATAAGACCTTTAGAATTTATTTAATCTTGTTCTTCCCCTGTCTCCTACCGTAAACCACATCTGTCTTATTCTAAACCAGATACTTTTAAATTGCTAGTCCTTGGGTTGCAAAGCAAGAGTTAGAAGGTCAGATGCTCTCTGGGGCCAGGTGAACATTGTCAGTGAGAGCAGTGTCCCCTAGTGGCAACTGTGGTGAACTGAGCATGTCCACACCATCTAAAGGAATGGATGCCCAGTGCTAAGGTCTCAGTTTTTGACAAAGGAGAGGGGATCATCTGAGAAACCAGATTATTCTGTTTGGTCTCACTGTATTTAAATGTTGACATTAAGAATTGTTTAAATGTCATTTTAAAAAGAATTTTAAAAATATTATTACACCCAAAAAACCTGCAGTCTCCTAGTTTGCAGTTTTGTAACAGATTTTTAAATTTTAAGTTTTTATAGGAAGTCTTTAAATGGTTATTAAAGAAATATTTATTGACTATCCAACGTGTTCAGACACTTTTCTAAGTGCCAGGAATATAGGGGTGAAAAAGGTCAGGGCTTATTGTTACGTAAACCCAAAATAATTTCAGATGCTTGTTAGTGTTATGGAAAAATAACACTGTATTGTGATAATGGCCCAAGTGAGCTGCTTTAGAGCAGCGTTGGCAAAGCCCATTTGGTTGCTGGAGTTTTTGTTTTAGTTGTGTTTCTTACCACCTACCCTAACCCCAGCACCTGACCTTGGAATATTTGTTGCAGTTTGGAGTATTGCATTTTTTCTGTGCTAATTGCGTTCTGTTTCTTTTAAGTACTTAGAAAACAGAAGCAGATTTAATTTTTTGGTTTTAAAGTTTTTTCTGATCTTTTTTCCCGTAGGGATTTTGCTGTAGGAATCTGTAACAAAATCAGTGAAATGATTCAAGGTATGTATTCTTCATTTAGTATTAGGAAGTGACTTCATAAGATTTATGATAGTTGATAATACTAATTAAGTACTTATTATTTGCTAGTCACCATACATTCAAATAATATTTATTAAGTGTCTTCTGTGTGCCCAAACTGTTCTAAATGCTGAGGATACAGGATTGAGCAAAACAAAGTCCTTGTTCCCATCTGACCTACATTCTAGTCTAGGGTGGGGTGGGTGAGGATAGACAAATGTGCATATGGCATATTTGGTGCTATGGTGAAAAAGTGAAGGAAGGAGAGCCTCAAAAGTAAGTTGATAGTGGGGTGTGAGAAGGGACTTTTCTATTTTATATATATTGATCAGAGAAGGTCTCTAATGAAGTGATATTTGAGTGAGACATGAAGGAGGGAAAGGAGTGAGCCATGCAGATATAGTCCTGCATTGCTTAGCAGTGGGGATCCTTTGTGAGAAATGTATCCTTAGGCAATTTTGTTGTTTGAACTTCACAGAGTGTACTTACATAAACCTAAATGGTATAGCCTACTATACACTTAGGCTGTATGGTATAGCCTCTTGCTCCTAGGCTGTAAGCCTGTACAGCATGTAACTGTGTTGAATACCATAGGCAATTGTAACAAAATGATAAGTATTTGTATATCTGAGGTAGAAAAGGTAATGTATTGCACTGTGGTGTTACAATGACTATAGGGTCTATGAGTTACTAGGAATTTTTCAGCTCTATTATAATCATACGGGACCACCACCTATCATGTGGTCCTTCATTCATCAAGGCATAGTTATGGGGTGCATGATTGGTTTAGGGAAGACCGTTCTGTCTGAGAGAGAGTAATGCCATTATGAGCTCTGAGACTCTCTGCTAATGTACCTCCAGTGTCTTCCAGTTGCAGTTAGAATCAAATCCAGATTCTTTACCGTAGTCTACAAAGCCCTGGTTTTCCAATCTCTTTTATACCATGAGTCATGTGTATTAACCCTATTTATCTTATAACAGTCATTATGGGAGCCCAAGAGCTCCCATAAGGTTAATAAGTATGTCATATCCCTATTTATCCTTACAACAGCCATAAAAGGGAGCTCTTGGGCTACAATACTGCATGACTCTAGAGAACACCACTTTGTTTATATTCTTATAAAGAGCATTCCTTCGGAGTTTGCAACTTGGCAGCCTTGGATAGGTAATACTATAATGTTCACTTTATGGGAAAGGAAATGGAGCCACATTAAAGCTGAATAATTGGTTCATAGTTATACATCTAATATCTTGCCGTTTGGCTTTGAGGCCCATGCTTTTCACCACTATGCTATCATGCCTTTCTAAGGCATGAATTTCTCAGTGTAGTTATATTTTGCATGCACTTAAATTGTCTTTCATATTAAAATTAAAGAGAACTTGCTCACTTGCATAAATAATTAAAATCACTTAAAGACCAAGATATAGAGAATTAACTTTGTTGTGTTCCCTTTTATCCCTTTGTCTTTTTTCTTCCACCATTAGCAAAAGGGCTTTCTTGCAGAAAGGTATCCTTGTGGCATTAGAAGGAAGCAACACTTATTCATTGAGCAGGATTTTATCAATTGCCTGCTGTTATCAGACAAGATTTCAGCTGGAAACAGGTGGCACATTTGAATTAAGATAACTCAAGGAAGATATGATAAAAAAAAACATTCACAAAGCCATGGTCGGGGGTACTATAGGGGATAATGTAGTTCTTGAGCCCATGATAATTTTTACCACACCTCTTGGAGTCATGTCAGAAGGGCCACTTTGAGAAACTAACCTTCAGGAGCATGATGTGACCCTGCAGTGAGAGAAGCAAGGAATAAGTACTCTGACCTCATTCTTCTCTGCAACTTCTGCTGGACACTCCATTGGTTCAACCCAAAAAGAGGGCAGATAGCAAGGGAGTTGATGAAACCTGTACAAGTGAGCCTTCTAGGATGGTGGCATATTCTGTGTGTCTGATGGTAGTTATATGGGAACATACATAGGTAGAAATTCATTAATCTTTACACTTAAGATTTATTGTTGTTGTTGTTTTTCCATTTATTTATTTTATTGCATTTTAGGTTTTGGGGTACATGTGAAGAACATGCAAGATTGTTGCATAGGTACACATGTGGCAGTGTGGTTTGCTGCCTTCCTCCCCATCACCTACATCTGGCATCTCTCCCCTTGCTATCTCTCCGCAACTCCCCACCCCTCACCGTCCCTCGCCTGTTTCCCCCCAACTGACCCCAGTGTGTAGTGCT